GAGAGAGAGAGAGAGAGAGAGAGAGAGAGAGAGAGAGAGAGAGAGAGAGAGAGAGAGAGAGAGAGAGAGAGAAAGGACGTGTTGGGATGGTGTCTCTTCTCCCCTCATCTGTGTAATTTTGACAATTGGCGCCAACCATCTTTTGCTTGCGGCTATCTCGGATTTTCTTTCTTTCGGGTAAATGATGAGTGATCTGATCTGTTTTCCTGTCTCTACTTTTCTACGAGCTTGTCGAGCTGGGTATGATAATCGTCTGTGTCTGATTTCGGCTCGTTTTTTGGCCAAAACAGTGTGAATAAATGGTCGAGTTGGCTGGAGTGTTATGATGCATGCATACTGATCGATTTCTCTCCTTCTTTTGCAATATAGACTAGGAATTCGTGTGATTGACCATGTTCCCGCCCCCAACCTCTGAATTTCGACCAATGCATGGATGTCGAGCTTTAGAGGAAATACGTCTTTTGGTCCGTTTGAATTGGCAATCAGAATGATCGATCATCCGTTGATCGCGTGATCTTTGCCAGCTATACGCACGTGTAACAACGTATGCATGGGTGTTTCGAAGGGAAACGAAGTAGATGGGCATGTTAGGTGTATGGATGTATTCCCTTAGGCACACCCGACCGAACTCATTCTCGGAGAACAACACACAAGTCTTGCGCACGCACGTGTAAGCTCGACCCCGAGGGTCGCCGCTTACACGCGTGTCTACAAAACCTGCCTGCGACCCGCCTCCCGAATGACAGGGGATCTGCTAGACCTGCAGTATGAATGTTGAAACTCCTTTCCATGTTAGCGATCGCGAGTGTTTGAGAGACCGGGAATTCCGAGAATATTGGGAGCGCACACACTTCTCTGCACGCCCCAGAGCAGAACTCCCGGAATTCCCCTATCAAACGGGGTGCAAGCGCGTTTGTCAGTGGGACATCGGGCAAGCCTTAAAGGACATTCCCTACCCTTTTCGCCGTTCCGGCCCGCCTACGTGTCAGATTATCGCGGAACCTGGCATTGTCATCATTGAAACAGAATATCCTCCCTATTACCTCACGTTACCCTTCCATAGCCTAACGATCGCCCCCTGGCGTGCGATTGCTCCTTATTGGCGTGACCCACCTTGTTCTGACAGCCAGCAGGACCGCGCCTACCGAGCTGAAGGGTTCACCCGACGAACCCTCTTCGAAACCGAGCGGCAGGCACACAGTCTTCGACTGAGGCCTGCCACGTCAGATTCCGAAACTTGCGACGTTCGTCGGCAGCAAATACTCAAACAGCGGGACAGCCACAGCGTCCCGCCGGTACACCAACTATGGGACCGAACCCTACGATGGAACCAGCAGAGGTGGTGACCCCAATCTATGTAGCACCAGACCCAGTCGCAATCCGCGACCACCTTCCTGCAGTTTTGTCCCTGAAACTTGCCACCGGAGATCCCAGTTCCGACATGGGACTCTACCCCCACTTTCCTAAAATCCTTGGCGCACCCCTTTTTCGCACTTCCGGGCCCCCATTTCACTCCAATCAGGAAGTCGCGCTGGGCGTGAGGTTGGGCATCTCAAGACCCTGTTACCAGGGTCCTCTGGCTGGGGAGACCCTGCTGCGCAGCTGGGAGGGCAGTTTGCGGGAGGTAGGTTGGGTTACCAAGGTCCTCTGGCTGGGGAGACCCTGCTGCGCAGGTGGGAGGGCAGTTTCACTGGAGTAGGAGGTTGTCCTCCGTGCTAGATGATGCGCAAGGCAGAAACGTGGTGTGGTGCTGGGAAAGGGAGGGGTGTCATCAGGGGCGAGGCCCCACTAGCAAAGAGGATTGGATGAAGAGCCTGAATCTGGACTGGTTATTGGGCAAAGATGCAGAAAGCAGATTTTCTGTACCTCTCCACAAACATGTCCACATATTCAGGCGTTAAATCCAATCCACTCTGCTACCGGAGGAGTTCGAAATATGGGTGACTCAGGGCATACTCACCCTAGACCCTCTGTCGACTGAATCTGGAAGCACATGGGACCACATACATGTATCCCAGAAAACCCCAGTGTGATAATGGCCTCGAAGGATTGAACACTGTTCATCATGCCGAACATCCTTTTTTTTTTTTTTTTTTGGCCGTTCATCTTCGTTCGTTATCTACGGCCAATGTGTGCAAGCAAGGTCTCTCTTTTTTTTTTCTTTCCTTTTTTTCATGCAGTAAGAAAACGGCCTCTTGAAATTTGAGGGGAAAAAAAAAAAAAGCAAAACAGCCTCGTTGTTGCCGAACTCCATTACAGCTTCATCGAGCCAAATCAGACACCTTGGTTCTGTTTTTCCTTTTCTTTTTCCAAACAAATCAGACACATTTTTGCTGACCTGTACACGGCGATAATAGCTGAGGTGGTTAACGCCCCGTCTGCTGTTCCCGGCTACCGTCTTCACCCGAATAGAACGCCCGGTCATTGTTTTTTTTTTTTTTTTTTTTCAKTWTYTCMCATTCGATCCCGCACCCGAATAGAACGCCCGGTCATTGTTTTTTTTTTTTTTTTTTTTTTTGAGTATCTCAGATTGGATCCCGGTGTCTGTTGGGTAGTAGTCTGGTGCTGCAACCTACCGGGCTAGCTCCTATCACAACGCTCGGTGATTGTAGCTGTATGTATGTGGTGCAACTATGTATGTGGTGCAACTTTCAGTCCAGAATCCAGATACAGCTATAATTTGGATATAAAGGTGGTTCATCCAAAGGGGTTCATAAAGGGGTTCACAGGAGCGGGTTGGAGGGAGGGGGGTCGTTAGGGGAGGGAAAAGGAGAAGGGGGTGCCGGAGGGATGGGACGTAGTACAAAAATATCTTTGAAGTAGTTCGACACGTGTCATTACACAGATCCGCACCCAATGGAGAAGATTCGCACAGCCCCTGCTGAAGCATCATGACAAGCATTAATCGAAAAATGGTCCTACAAAATAAACTAATGAAATTTAAATAAATAAATAAATGAGTTGATTAGAAAGAATAAATAAAAAATCTCGGGATCCAATCAAGCCAATGTCATCAAGAGAATCTGTGTAATGACACGTGTCTTGCTGCGATTGGCTTTCAGAGAAGGGCGACGCCGACCGAAAAAAAGTCCGAGTAAGGTTAATTACGCGGGGTGCTACCGTCATCCCCCGAATACAACGCGCGGGGTCGTTATACCTGTATTCGGGGCAACTTCCAGTCCAGATACTGTGATAATGGACGTGCGTTCTAGTCGGGAGAAGCCATAGCCATTCTCAGTACACAAAATATGATTATTTTTGTCATTTAAATTCGTCTTTGGCATCTTCCACCCGAGTAAAAACAACGCAAATAGATTTCATTATTTAAATAATTTAATAAACAATTATCTAATCCAGACATTAACTTACCACGGCAGGCATTACGTTTAAAAAAAAAAAGAAAAAAGGTGAAAGACGATTGGTGCTCTCTCTCTCTCTCTCTCTCTCTCTCTCTCTCTCTCTCTCTTCTACACGATTTCAAGAAGTGGGCCTCGTTTACTATATTATAAACATATCAGACTACCGTAAAAAATCAGCCTTGGATCCGCCTTCAATCCGGATCCCGATGTGGATTCAAATCCCTGATCCCCACGTCAAGCATCATCTCCACCCGGTGGGTCCGGATCGGGATGCAGATTATCCTCGAGCCAGGAGAGTCTTAAGGCCATCAGCAGATGGGATGAGGAGGAAGAGGGAGGAGCAGGAGGGCACTTGCCGAGCAACTTAGCTATGGCGACACCAAGAAGGACAACGATGAAGACGACGACGACCACGAAGTCCGACGTGATGTTGATTAGCGACGAGCCGACGACGACGCCAGCGAAAACGGCAAGAACGGCGATGGCAGAACCAACAGCGGCAACAAGTATGACGACGACGACGACGCCGGCTATGGCGAAACCAACTACGACAACGAGGACGACGACGACGACGATGCCGTTGACTGACGAAGAGACGGCGACGACGCCGATGACGTCAACGACAACGACGACGCCAGCTATGGCCACACCAAGAACGATGAAGATGCCGTTGACGGACGAAGAGACCGCGACGCCGATGACGACAACAACAACGACGACGCCGATGACGACAACGACAACGACGACGCCGATGACGACAACAACAACGACGCCGTCAGCTATGGCGACACCGAGAACGACGACGAAGACGACGACCAGGACGACAACCCCGACGACAACAACAACGAAATCCGAGGTCGTTTTGACCAAAGAGATGATCTTGAAGAGAGCAGGAAGTCGAATGCCTCCGCCTCCTCCTCCTCCTCCTCTTCCTCCTCCTCCTTGTGCTGCTGCTGCTGGTCCTGCAGCTGCCGATGCGCAGGTGGCGGGTAAACAACGCAAAACTTCGTCTGCTGTAGAAAAAGCTGACGTCAACCAATTTTTGAAAAAAATGACCCACCTCTTCATGAACGAGAAGAGGGTCGTCAAGATCGCTCAGGGGGCTCTGGATGCTTGTGCCAATTTGAAGGTGGCCTATCTTTACGACAACTGCCTTCAGCGAATCGAGGGGCTAAGCAACTGCAAGAACTTGACCCATCTATACATCCAAGACAATGAGATAGACAAGATGGAAGGGCTGGAAAGCCTCTGCCATTTGCAGAAGCTATACCTAGAAGGCAATAGGATAAGCAGACTGGAAGGGTTGAGCAGCTGTTCTCAGCTGCAAGAGCTGAACTTGTCGAGGCAGAGGGTGCCGAGTGGGCAATCGTTCTCGTTCGAAGGAGCCAGCCTCGCAACACTCAGGTGCTGTCTGACCATGCTCAATGCAGCGGACTGCAGGATTGAAAGCCTGTACCCTCTGTGCGGATTTAGGTTTTTGGAGGATCTTGACGTGTCACGGAATCTTATCCAGTCAGTGAAGGAGGTGGATGACTTGGCATCCTCTTGTGGGAAACTGGCTAGTCTGAACCTGACCGAGAATCCGGTCGAATCCTCGTCGAGGAAGTTCAGGGATCGAGTCATTCTGACGGCAAAGAACCTGAAGATGCTGGACAACAAGGAGGTATCACAGCAAGAAAGAATGTTTCTACTGCAGTTGAAGAAGATACAGGAGGAGAGGAGCATGAGGAGGAGGAGGAGGGAAGAGAAGAAAGGGAGGAGCAAAGGCAGAGAAGGAGGAGAAGGAGGAGAAGGAGGAGAAGGAGGAGGGGACGATAATGAAGGAGAAGAAGGAGAAGAAGGAGAAGAAGGAGAAGGGGAAGGCGTTGGTGCTGCTAATAGGCAATTAGAAAACCATGAGAAAGAAAACTGGCGGTGGGGACCACCACTCAGACCAGCGCAGTCGGCATTCCCTCCAGGCAGAGTGTTCACGAGCAACAACCCTAGGGTATTTACAAGCAATCGGGATCGGTATACCTCTCTGACGACGAGGCAGACCCCAGCTTATGCACCGAGAGAAGCGACAAAAATGGGAGTGGCACTTGTCAATTCACCGGTCAATCTTCGTCGATCTAAATAGTAGATAGTCAATCCAAATTCGGGGTAGCCATGCACTCGTAGCAATTCAAAGTGGGAGAGCCATGCACGTCATCCTATTACACTGCGTGCGTGCATGCATGCATGCACGCATGAAAGTACGTGAGATTCACGTGGTGGTTGCCCTGCTAAATGCCAAGCTTTTCTTCCAGGGCTCAGTCCGTAAGACAACGGGATTACGTTGTACGGTACTCTGTCCAATCAAGTCTGTGACTGAGTTTTCCCGCCAAAAAAACAAAGCAGAGACCGTTGACCCGGGTCTCCTTCGGCGGCCCAGCTTACCCATCCCCTCTTTCCTTCCCCATCGCTCCCCCCTTTCCCCCTTCCCCTCACTCCCTTTCCCCTTCACCCCTCTACCCTCTCCCCGTATACAATACAGATTTAACCCGCCACGGTTATCATCTCTTCCTCCTCCCCCCCCCCCCGGCACGTTCTGGTGGCTACAGCACAGTAGGGATTTGGTGTGTGTGTGTGTGAGTGCGTGTGTGCGTGCGTGTGTGCGTGCGTGCGTGCGCGCGCGCGCGCGTGTGTGTGTGTGTGTGTGTGTGTGTGTGTGTGTGTGTGCGTGTGAAAGAGAGACACCTGTCTCTTATACACATCTAGATGTGTAT